GAATCAATAAGAAAGATAATTGCATCAGCAGTTTGAATATATTTTTTCCATAAACAACCACCTATAACAAAAAAGAAATAAAATATTTATTTGTTATATTATATTGATCATCACCATCATCTAAATCAATAATTGTAAATTTCATTTTGCCCATGATTAATTCTTTAAAATCTATGAATAAAAAATTTTTATAATTAAACAAAAACGAAAAGTTTTTTGATACCACAAGATAAATTTGATGTATATTCATCGAATTTATTTTCTTTTAATGTATTTATCAACGTTTTCTAAAAAGAAAAGGAAGATTTATTTAAAAAAAACAAATTTTGTTTTCATATTTTGCTTTGCCTGAATTTTTAAAACCGAGAATAAGAATTGTACCACATTTATTATGCAGACCTATTTAAAATAATTTTTTTATTGACTACCTATTAAATAACATTTCTTTATATAAACTTACGACAATCTTTTCCAAGTATTGCATCACGATCATCTGCTACTTTTTCAGCTTTTAATCCAGTTACACGAATTTGGATCTTTTGATTTACTTGACGTTGTTTTAAACGATTGATTTCACTAGTTGTTGTTTCAGTTTGTGGTCCTTCTTCAAGTTCTTGAACAGCTTTTGATGTTTCATCATATTCACTTTCATATTTTTTTTGAAGTTCCTCAAGCTTGGCAACCTAAAAAGAAAGATAAAAATCTTCGTAAAAAAACATTTGAACCTACGTTATTCCCAGTCTTCCGCATTGTATCAGTAAATTTTTCATGAGACATAATTGACCAAACAAGATGATAAATTATCTAAAATGAAAGAAAATTTTAATTAAGAAACTCGAATACTTAGAGTTCAGGTAGAGACAGTAGAAAAGAAAGAATTTGACATCAGCTGATTTAATTGATGATCTATATGATAGTAAATGAGATGCTATATTTCTAGTAGGAATGTTAAGAGAAAGAATTGATGAACAAAAACAATCATCAAATTGAGCTGGATTATCTAAAATAAATATAAAAAATGAATAATAGACATTTTTTTCATAAGTTATATTCATTTTTATTAAAATTTAATTTATATT